TATCTGGAGATCAACATCTTAACAAAATATTAAAAACTTTTACAATTTAGATACTAGAACGAAAACTTGTAACTTATATAATGATTTTAATATATTAAATGTCATACAGCAATACAAACTTTTACAAGCTATTCATATATATAAAATAATTAACAAACATATAATAAGTAATTCCGCTTTATAGAATCAAGAAACTGAAATGAATAATTAGAACACTAGACGTACAGTTGATTTTAGAACAAGAGGAACTAGACTCAATATATACAGTGATTGCGTTAAAGAATTCAATAAAATATCATCCATAATTAAGACACAACAAAATATTGAATCATTTAATTTTTTTCATCTTCATTTAAAAAATTGTGTAACGTAATTCTGTCTAATACACACTTTACGAGCTCTGGTCAGGAACAAATAACACAGGTCATTTGTGATAACACTCTCTCTCTCTCTTATAAAATGTACAATGATATTTCTGGTACATCTTGTACAATATCATCAAAACATCAAATTGATTGATTATATTTCGTGTGGGTAATTTATATATAATGTTTATATTATAAATTAAAAATAAATATCTATTTTTAAATTTTTTTTTAATTATTTTAAGTATTTTTTTCTAATTCATTAATTAAAAAAATCTAATAAAAATGTAGGCATGAAGGAATTTAAAAGCAACAAATTTAAATAAATTTTATTTTACAGATTTATTTAAAATTTGAAATTCTGAGATTATATAATAAATATGAAATTAATTGATAAAATTTTTGACGTTTAAATTAGAACTTTAGAATTGTGGTGTAAACGCGATGAGTTCGGAATTTATTTAGACTAAATTATTTAATTAGATTTAATTAAAGTAGAATAGGATTTTGAAATTTTTCAAGACTATATTTAAGGTTATTATGACGCAAGTCAAAAAAAACAATATGACTTAAATTATAATGTGTCGTATAGAATTGAATTGACACTTCATTTTACAACACAATATGCACACAATGGCAATATACTCTTTTTGTCGTAAAGTATTTTGAGTTGTAAATAATAGAATAGACTCAATTATTGGAGTATTTCTGTATTTTGAGTAAATTTGTGTTTTGAGTTATAAGTGCAATGCATGAATGCTTTAGTTTATATTTTTAGGAATTTTACTCAATTTTACTCTCTAATTTATTTTACTCAATTTTTAAATTAATATTAAATTCCCTATACGTTGCAATAAGTTATTAAACTATATAAAATTGTAATAAACTGTTAGAAAACTGTTCACATAGTGCTGTACATATTATGATATGTTCGTGTATTAGAAAACGTCAAAAATATAGAAAAATTTCTGTCACGGCCGCCATACTGTCTGATCTGATTTAATTTTCAAATAAATTTTATTTTTATTCTACATATTCTCATTGTTATTATTGTTATTATTATTTATTATTTTATTACTTTTATATTTTGTTCTTATTTTTGCTTTTTTTGTTCTATAAAGTGGTTTTTTATATTCTTAAAATATGACGTTTAAATTGTATATGAGTTGTTCAAATGTGTGTGTTCGCATATAACAATTAAGTAAAAGTGAGTGTTAAATAAATTGCAAAGCAACAATCTAATTGTGATAATATTTTCCATCACACCAAACTGTCAAAAATCAAAATATACAAAACTTTTTACACGCATTATTTGAAATTTGTCATGTACAATATTCACAATAGAGATATAAACGCATATATATATTGTGAATGTGTATGTGTTGTAAAATATAAAATAATTTATTGTTTTTAATATTTTATTTCTGTTAAATTTCATAATAATTTCATGTTTTAATTTATTTTATTTTCATTTTTTTTTTGTACTCTGAAAATAAATCAAGAAAGAGCTAAAATATTAATTTTATTTTTTTCGGAAAATACGAAAACGCGCCTTACAATCAAATAATTTTCTTACTTTGTATTCTGTTGTATTGCGTTTAGATAATCATAAAAAAATTTTTTAATGATTTTTTAAAAATTTTTATTATTATTTCATTTAAAATTTTTCAGATTATTGTACTTATGCGCATAGTAATGATCAAGGTTTTATTTACCTGCTATTGAATTGAGGCCTGCCTTGAATTGAGCTGACCGGCTATTGAATAATAAAAATTTTAAGTAGGAAAATTGAGAAATTGGCATTGGGTATTGTAAAAGTCTTATTATTTTCAATTTACTCTTGTAACAAGAATTTCGGAAAGGAATTTAGAAGGGCTATTCTTCAAATATAATTTAACATTTAGCATATTAAAGATCAACTTCAATTTATCACTCTCAAACACAAAATATTGCTGTCAAAAATAAATATCAAAATTTTGTCTTATATTCACCATTAATTTATTGTCATCTGTTAAAAAAATTCTTGTAAAAAATTAGAAATTTTATATGTTGTATTCCCCCCAAATTCTGAGTTGTTCGCTGCCCTATACGAATTCAAGAATGTGCGATTTACTTCCTTGCCCCTTTGCTGCCATCGTTTTCAATGCAATGAATGTTATGCATAATATACATGCACATTGCGTATAATAAATCATTTTTTTGCATCTTTATCCTGCTGAATACTAGATTATTCATAGACTTTAAGGCGGGAATTGAATTTTCAATTTTTAATTTTGAAATGCTTGTATATAAGTCTGGAGGAACATGTTATCAAGCTGAAAATAGAAAGAAAACATATTATGAATAACAGGTAATGGGAGAAATTATAAAAAGTTTTTACTTTAATTCAGTTTTTTTATTAAGTTTTCAATGGCGCCCTTGTTTTTCTGGCGTTTATTGCAAATACTTAATTTCTATGTATTGTAGATCCGGTGCTGTGCATTCAATAAAAATTTTGATTCTCTTAAAGTGTTAACATTTTTAACAAAAATAGTACTACATCTATCGGTAGATTTTGTAAACATACTCTCAACACAAATTATTTTCTTATAACTCTTTCAAATGAGAATTTTTTTATCACACTTTATTTTCGTGTTCTATTATTTCTGATTCATCTAAAAAGAAAAAAAAAATACTTCATTACCTACTATTTCGTATTTTTTTTTTCGTAATATGAAGCAGTTTCAGGTTTTATACGCATTTTATTAACGAAATTTTTGGCAGACAAAGATATGAGCGCTTTTTGTTTTCTTGAAATTTAGTACAAAAAAAAAATATTTTGTTGTTTTTTTGCTTTTAAAACTTAAAGTATGTTTGTTATATGAAACGCTTTTGTTTATGAAAATTTTTCATTAAAAAAAAAAAAAAATTTGGAAATTTTTTTTTTTTTTTAATTTAATTGACGTGAATTGACGTCAATAGCTGCTATCAAACACCTTGATGACCTAATAATAATAATAATTAAGAAAATTTTAAAATATATACACAAAAAACAGAATAGTAGTATAACAGCAACAAAAAAAAAAATGACAAGAGAATGACAACCTTTTCAAACATTTTTGATTTTCAATGTTATGATGAAAAAACAAAAAAACAAAAACACATAAATTCATGTTTTTTCACCCTCTATAATATTTAATTTGATTTGATATTTGAAGGAAAATTTTACTTATTTACATGTATATACATGTAAATAAGTAAACATGTACATGTATACTGGAATGATAGCATACAAACATGTATGTAGCTATTGTCATAATATAGAAATTGTCATTGATTTTCCTCAATGATATTCTAATATCTTTAAGAATTATTATAGTTTTAAGATTATAATAAAAATTATTTATTATGTAAAAAAGAACAAGAATAAAAATGATTAAGATTAGCAAATATCTTAATATATGACGTTAATATCATACATGTATGTTAAACATGTATGTTATACAAATATGTAAATTTATTAGAATATTATAATGTGTTAAAGGTTAACTTGAAGGGCGAAATAATATATAGAAGGAACACAAAACTGGGTTAACATAAATTTTATCCTTCATTTCAATTAAAATTATTATTTTCTTGCTATAATAAATATTATTTTTTTGAGCATATTTTGAGTATGTTATAAAATTAATTTTACAATATTTTAAATTATTTATAGTCTATTGATGCTTATTATGAATTATATATGATATTTTATAAATAAAATTAGTGAGAAAATGAATTTTCAACTTTATAACTTGAATTTTTACATTAAGAATTAATAAAGTAATGTTTGACAAGATCTGAAGCAGTGTTTCCTGTGATTGTTGTCAAAATAATTAACTTAATAATTATGATAAGCCTGTTAAATCTTCTGTACTGTGCCATTAACAAACTCCAAGTAAATAGAGAAATTTCCTTATTAGTTTCTATTATATAACAGTTTAAATGTAGTAATTTAGCAACGAGTGGAATAGTTTGAATGTAATATAACAGTTTGATTGTAATATAACAGTTTGAATGTAATAATCTTAATTATTATTGAGATATTACGATTGTATCATTATGAAAATATATGTGCAAAAATTGAGTCGTATTTAAGTTTACGATATTATCGTAATTCTGGTATATTTTAAGTACAGTTTCAGTAACTCAAATTAAAATGACTGTAATTTACGATATTACAGTTATTTTGGTATATATTAAGTGTACTGAACGTAATAATAATTTCGTACAATTTTTTTTCAATTTTTATTGGAAGAATTTTAATTGCTCAAAGGTAACATATGCCTCAATTTCCTATATCGTAATAATTTATAAATATATTTGCATGTTCGAAAAAAAAAAATCATCTTGAAATTAATTTTAACATTTCAATTGCATATTAAAGAGCATGTTCCTAAAACCTCAAGATATTTTCATTTGAATTTGCCCAAAAAAATAAAGTGAATTAAAAAAAAATTGCATACTTTTAGGCATAACAGCAAAATTATATTAAGTTATTTATTTATTTTACAGCCAACTAGCTTGCTAGTTTTTTATTATTATATTTAAAATTTAAAATAAAATTTATTTTATTGTCACATAATAATTTTAATGAATTTTTTTGTTTTACAGGTCTAAAACCATTATAAAATTTGTAAAAAATTTTCCGAAATTATGGTTATAAATAAAAAGGTTATATTCTAAAACGTATCCCAAAATATACAAACATACAAAGTGTAGACAAGTCTAAAATCGCTTAAAAATCACAAATATAGATAGAAAAAGAGAAACAAGTAAGAATAATTAGCACGGTTTCTTAGAATCACGCATTTATATTTTAGTAAATTGCATGATGAAAAATCTATTTTTCTAAATTTTCTATTTATATAGAGAGCATGTGCTTTATCAAATAAAAAAAAAACCTTTTATATAAATGAGCATCTAATGATTTTATAGTTTTCTTATATTAAAAAAATTTTTTTGTAGTTTTGCATGTTTCAAATATAGAAAATTCTTAATTTAATTTTTTATTAAGAAAAATTTATAAAATTATTAAAATTAATTGGAAAATTTTAAATTGTTATTTGAATTCATCCGGAATAGATGAATTTCAAATTTATACAAAATTATTATTTAAAGCTAAAATCAAGCCTATGATAAAGCTTTTTTCATATTCTTGGAGGGGATTTTTCTCTACCATAATTTCAGAATAGTTCAAGAAATTTCCACCTAAATTTTATCTTACTCGTATTCAATTTGTTAATAATTTAGTAATAAATAAAGATGTTTAAATTCAGAAAATTTAAATGGGAAACAATTTCATTAAAAATTTAAAATATTTGGCATTTAATGAGCCAATTTTTGGAAAATTTTAATCATGTGTGAATCGAATCAAAAAATCCAATTATATTACAAATTTTCTAATTAAACGAATCAACGCATTTCAACTATGTGAATCCGAATTCTATTAAATTATTCAAATAATTTTATTTTGGAATTTATAAAATTTTTTTTGAATTACAAATTAGGCAATATAGTGTTAACATTTTCCGTAGAATATTTTGGTCTGATGTAATAATAATAAATGCAATTTCAATCAAATGAAATTCCAGGAAATAGTTCACTATATAAACAGTGGTGTTAAATTAAGAAAAATCTTGTTTGGAATACAACGAATAGTTGTCGAAGCTGAATTGGAAATCATTTGTATATTCATTGTAAATATGCGCCATATGAAAACTGTTCTTATATATACTGCATTTATTTGCACTGTGGAATCTTGTTCTTAGTAGTTTATTATGTAAATTCAGATTTATGCCTCTTTGTTATGGAGTTTTCATAATAATTTTAGAGAATTATTTGATTGTTTTGTATTTAGTCATGTATATCTTACACTAGCCGTTTGGGAAGTGCAACCCATGGGGCGGAATCGGGCCCATCATTCTACTTGTAGAAAAGAAAAATATTTGATTGCGATTATTAAAATTTGAAACAACCTACAAAAGTTTCCTGGCGGCTGTCTTACACTCTTTAGGAAAAATCTCATAATTCACTCTTAATACTCTTTAAACCTTCTTCTTTACTATCTTCTTCAACGTCTTGAATCTTGATGGGTTCAAATATTAAAATAATTTTATAATTATTTCTTAAAATATTCAAAATAAATGAAATAAAAATTTTAATTTCGTATTTCATATTTCAATGAATGCTTATCAAAAGTTTAAACGTAAATGTAAGTTCTTTGCTTAATGTACCATATAGCCCCCGAACACGTGTCTCTTACATAATAATTTCAATTCGTTTATTTTGAACTATTCGTGCATATTATTTTCATTTCAATCAAACTAATTAAAATTGTGAATATAAAAATTTTCCTTTTTTTTATTATTTTGAATTGCAAATAAACGTGATATTAATGGCATTTATAGAATTTTTATAGAGTAAAGAAATGAGTTAAGTTAAGGTCTTCAATAAAGCAAATTTAGTTCCATACGTAAATTTAATGTAAAGAAGAATCTTATATTTAAAAAGAAACTCAATAATTGATCCAAGAAAGAATGATACTTGAGAATATTAATATTGAGCACTTTTGTCAACGAATCAGCTCATAATTTTACCTAAAATTAAGAAAGTTTCGCTTATCTTCCTTTCTAAAGCTAATATCTTCTAAATCTTGCCGTTTAGAGCTTCTCAAAATGAATGCCCCTTAATTAAATTTGCATTAAAAATAATACTCCCATTCATTATTGAAAATATTTGAAATTGTTAAATGTCATACGAGCGACAAACGTCAAAGTTGTTCAATGTCATACATTTTTCATTTGAATTAGAAATTCTCTTTTAATTAAGCCTATTATACAGAGAGTATATATTTAAATCTTTCTCAGAGTAAATCTAATTAACAGATAAGACAACACAACGCGTATACAGGCAGAGTCACTGCGTAAAATACTTTTGTTATGAGAATCTCATTTCTTTTATTGCTCTCATATTGTTTACATAACAGTATAACACATAATTATTGTAATGAGAACATTTAATTTTTTATGTTTTGTTAATAGCAATTAAAAAAATTCTTAAAAAAATAAATTTTGCTATATAAAGAGCAACAATCGAAAATTCAATATAATTAAAAAAAAAAGATGAAAGTAAAATTTATTTTCTCTCTTTGTCTTTCTATTTTAAAACAATATTGAAAAATTTTTGTGAAAAAAACAAAATTACCATTTAATAATGAATAAAAAAAAAAATAATTTTTTTTTTAACAAAATCTCTCTTTAATCCTTAAGAGCAACAAAATCATTAAATTATGCGGTTAAATTCACATTTTTTTTTATATCGTTTTTAATATCGTTGAATTTTTATTTTCATTTTACGAGAAAAAAAAATTTAATACTTTTAAATCGTACAATTCACAAAAAAATAATAAAAATGAAAGTGGCAAGAAAACGTTTAAAACACTTAAAGAAATAAACAATGTGATGATTTTGAGACGTTGACAAGGAGTGAGGTAAGAAGAGAGGAAGGGAGAGAGAGGGGAAAGGAGAAGAAAGTAAGCGTATTCAGTGTTTTTTTTTTGTTTTCTATTTTTATTTTTATGACTTTTGTGTCTCGTTTTTAATGTGGGATCATATGTCCTCGTATATAAGAGTACGATAATTACGTTTATATTATGTACACCCCTAATACATGAGTGTGAGATATAGATAAGTCAAAAATTTTTTGACGGAATTCGTTCATAATACTATATATTAAATTAGAAAAATTTAATGGGGTAAATGTTTTATATATTTTAATCTACTTGAACTGGTAGATTAACAACAACAAATTATTGATCATATGAGAGTTCAATTAATTATAGAGTCACACTCAATTTAATTAGAGAGTCACACTCACAAAAATAAATTTTTTCATTATATTCAGGAGACTTTGTAAAATTACACAAAACAATAAGGCTTATTGTTACAAAAAGCTAAATTACTTAAAAGCTCAATTACTTGTAAATAAGAATTTGATTGATTTAGATAGTAGGATTATAGGAAAACTGAGTTCATTTGTGATTTATCATAAGTTTTCTTCATCACATTTAGTCAGAGCTGGAAGTTTTCGTTTACGTTTCTAAATCCATTATATGCAATAGAATCAATAGGAATGTTTCTCTTAATTTACTACGAAAATTCATTTAATTGAAACTCGAAATATACTGAAGGTACAACAACACTTTTTTTTGGCTTACATACTACATAATTGTTTTACACATTTCAGGGCGTCAATCTGGAAAAGCTTTCAAATAAAGAACAGTCTTAATATTAAATTGCATTTTTTATTTAATTTTATGAGTATGAGACCACCATAATTATTGAACGTAAAAGCTGATTAGTTTCGAAATGGTGACAATTTTTGAGAAATAACAAAATATGAAGAAATAAGACAAATTATTCAAGAGCTTCTTAGTTCCAATAACATTTCTTAAATTAAAATGTAAATGCCTCTCTAATCATAGCACTTCCGTCTATCGATGTGATTCCGTTCCAATTTTCGTACTGCCAAACTAAGAATCGATAATATTGATTATTTAGCACTCTTCCTACAATACCCTCCCCATGGTATACAATAACCTACAATAACCACAATATTTTTTCAAAAATACGGAAAATTATTTTTTATATTTAAGTATAGGTACATGTTAATTTTATTTTCCGAAACAGAAAAAAATAAAAATAAACAACAAAAAACAAAAATAAAAATTACAATTTTGTTCACGTATACGCAACGCACGCGATCATTTTAAAAAGAAAATGTGGGAAAATTCAAAAATTTTAAGAAAATAAAAAACCAAAATATAAATATGTTTACGTGTATGTCTACTATATATATATATATATATACTCGTATTATTGACATAAACTATATAGTATAATGTTGTTGGCACTGCCAATTGGCGTCATCTGAAACTCTTAGAATGACAGAATATGAAATTGATTGGCTTGTTTTTGTTTTTCCTTTTCTTTTCGTTCTTCTAAGAAAATTTCCTTTAGATTTTCGGTTCTGTTTCAGATTAAAATGATGATGATGATGAAGTTTCTTTTAAATGTATACGGAGAATAAGATTGTTTTTTTTTTTTTTTATTAGAATTTAGTAAATAAACAATTTGAACGTCAATAATTACTAGTATGTACAAAATTTTCGAAAATAATCAAGAATTTGTTTTTAAATATATGAGTAATGTGTAGGGAAATTAAAGAAATTTAGAGATTAATAGAGATGTGCTGTGAACATTAATTAAATAATTTGGATTTTATATTAAATAAATTTTACCCTAAATGGCATCGTTGCGTCACAAATCAACAAACTGTTATATTGATCAGTTTACGATTCTATTCATGCTAAACAAGATGATATTGAACTAAATAATCGAACCCTAAAACTCGAAAATCTCCTTACCTTAAAGCCATATGAGTTCCCTTGAACATTGGTATAACTTTTTTTTTTTCTCTTCAACTCGAAATCTCCATAAATCGAACAGTTTTAGCGTTCGTGTGCGACTTCGAGTTATAGAGGTCCCACTGTTTGTGGGTGATTTTGAGGTTATGTGCGATGACATCAAATTTTACACGTCATGTATTCATTGGGAACGCAAATTGTCATGATAGGGAGATGTAAATAAATTATTAGCGAGATGTCGGTCTGTATGGGTACACGTGCATTTCAAGTTCTATACTGAACTGATTTTTATGAAGATTTGTATATGAGTTTAATTTTGCTATGCCATGGTTATGTGTTGATCACCCT